GCTAAAATAAAAAATACAAGAAATAAGTGTTGGTGAAGATGTGGAGAAAAAGGAACCCTTGTGCATTGTTGGTGGGAATGTAAACTGATGCAGCCACTGTGAAAAACAGTATGGAAGTTCCTCAAAAAATTCAAAATAGAATTACCATATGATCCAGTAATTCCACTACTAGGTATTTATCCAAAGAAAATGAAAACACTAATTTGAAAAGATATATGCACCCCAATATTTATTGCAGCATTTATTGCAGCATTGGATACAATATCCAAGATATAGAAGCAACCCAAATATCCACTGATAGATGAATGGATAAAGAAGTGGTATATATACAATGGAATATTACTCAGCCATAGAAAAGAATGAGATCTTACATTTGCAACAACATGTGTGGACCTAGGGGGTCTAATGCTAAGTGAAATAGTCAGAGAAAGACAAATACCATGATTTCACTCATATGGGGAATTTAAGAAACAAAGCAAATGAACAGAGAAAAACAAGAAACAGGCAGAAAGAAAGAAAGAAAGAAAGAAAGAAAGAAAGAAAGAAAGAAAGAAAGAAAGAAAGAGAGAGAGAAAGAAAGAAAGAAAAAGAAAATCAGACTCTTAAATACAGAGAACAAACGAGTGGTTATCAGAGGGGAGGTTGGTGGGAGGTTGGGTGAAATTGATAAAGGAAATTAAAAGTTCACGAATCATGATGAGCACTGAGTAATGTATAGAATTATTGAATCATTACATTGTATACCTAAAACTAATAGACACTGTATGTTAGTTATACTTAAAAATGTATTCAAGAGTTGAGGTTTAATAAAAATAATAATTTTTACCCCTTCCAAAAAAATATCTGAACTCTTTAGCTTAGCAACAAGGTCTTCAACTATGCCACCCATTCAAACTCATCCCCGTAGTGTCCTCAAATTACCTACTCTAACCAACTCTACTAGGTCTCTGTAAAAGGCTCTGGGACTGTCCTCCTTCGCAGCTTGTTCATGTCATTCCCAGGCTTTATCTGTCCTTGGCAGTTCTGGCTGCCTGTGATTTTACCTGGAAACTCTGAGATCACTTCTTGTTTGCACTTGATACAACTTTCTGCAAGTCGTTTGGCACTTGTGACCTCTGAACTCTGATATTTTTTTTTTTTAGATTTTATTTATTTATTTGTCAGAGAGAGAGACAGAGAGAGCACACAAGCAGGGGGAGTGGGAGAGGGAGAAGCAAACTCCCCGCTAAGCAGGGAGCCCAATGCAGAACTTGATTCCAGGACCCTGGGACCATGACCCAAGCCGAAGGCAGATGCTTAGTCGACTGAGCCACCCAGGTGTCCCTGATTTTTTTTTTTAACATTTAAACAGTTTCTTCTACAGGGCTGTGAGCTTTATTATATCACCAATACTTGATCAAATATTTGTTGATCAAGGCCCTGAAAACACTCTGACTACTGGGGGACATGAGCTTCTGTGTAGAGTAGGAATAGAGAGGATCAGCTAAGAGGAAGAAAGATGAAGATAAAACAAGGCACAGATTAAAAAGTTGCTTTTCAGTCTTTATTCTTTTATTCTTCTCTTGTTTTGCTACAATCTCTGGTCGGGGAGCAGGTTTCCTCTCTATCTGGTGGCAAGAATACAAAGTATGATCCTTGGGCCAATGACTGAAGTCAGGTACCAAAGTCCATTTCAGTGGCTCACTTGGGGTTTGAGGCATCCCTGAGACAAAAAAATGTAAGCTATTTTTCATTATTCATTGATTTAATGTCCTTCATACTGCTAGACTAATAAAATCAGCAGTTTAAAAACGAGTTTTATGTAGTATCTTAAGATTATATAGTTTTGATGATATCTTTATTAACGTAATGATCCTATGGGAAACTTTTTTCTAAGAAAAGATTATATCATTTAAATCCTTGTTTTATGTTAAGGGGAATTTGATTAGTGTTGATACACTATTGTGGTTCCCTCTGATTTTCTCTAGGTTAAAGCACTTAAATAGTTGATAAAATATCATCTTGTTCCTATTCTGTGCTTATAGACAGTATTTTGGTTGACTTCAGGGCTGAATTATTTTTCCTGAAATCATTTCATAAAAAGGACCAGCAATTTGCTGTAAGTTTCTTAGCAATGACTGTAAGGTCAAGGCATAATAACACATTGATTACACAATGGAGTAACAGGAATGAGATAATGGTACTTCTTATGTGATAACTTAAAACAATTACCCTGTTTTGGGGGCTCATACTGCTGAAGTTTAATTTTAGTTTTTTTAAGGAATGATATTTAAAAAGCAAAAAAAGAGCTGTTAGGTTGATTTGTTTTCTTTCAAACAGTCTTAATAGCTTCAATTTTTGGAACTTAACTCCTTGAAGACAGCAACATTGCACTTGATAATATTTTGCTCATTCCTCTATAGGATGTTTGTTCAGTTGAGAAATGAAAATGGGTCTCAGTATATTACATAGAGTGATTTGTTCTAAATGGCACAAAAACTGTTTCTGGGCCAGGACAGTGTTAGTTCAACATCCTGTGAGAGTTGATGCTTACTCTGCTGCATGGACACCATGGTCTAGTGAAATCTGCACATTAGGGAATTTCCTATGCCTTCATCCGCCCCCCACCCCCCGCCCACATACATTATTAGTTTTGTGTAATAGGAAAGAGGAAATATGCAAAGGCACAGACACCATTCTGAATTACGGGACCAGTTTTTTTCCCGGTGTTTATGATGTTTCTGTACAGTGTGCTTTAGTGTGTAAAGGGACACACTGGTGTTGCGTGCTCAACAAAACAGAAAATCTTTTCTTGAAATGATTAGAAAGCAAATACTATTTTATAGATCTGGTGTCCTGGCATTGTGGGGAGAATGCTAGTGTATCTGGTGCTTTCATTAGAAACAAAGTAAACTGTAGGGAGTTTACCAAAATCCTGCCACCTCACCCCTTTTAAAACCAAACTGAGCAAGAGGACCAAATTGCTGTTTTATTCACAATTTGGTCTTCCTGGTGTGGTGGTAGTCCTCTGCTCCCATTGTTTATTTTGCTTTATGTTGGACACCAACAGAGACTAAAACTACACTTTATGGACTTCTAGTTTGGCAATATGCTGGCAAATGGGAAAACAAGCAACATAAACCAAATTTCTGCCACAGTGCTTTTAATATTGAGACAGATGTTTATCTAACAGAGCCAACAGAATGGAACATGAAAGCACCAGCAGCTCAGGGCTGTAAACACAGTTTCCTGATGACACGTCCCCAGGGGGACAGATCATACAGTTTCTATATTATTCAGCTTGTCATTCTACTGGCACAGAACTGATTTTTGCCTCAGAAAATGTCTCTTTCCTGAAACTCCAGCTGTCCTTCATTCATAAAGCAGCGTTTAATAAGGTGGTTGTTTACTAGGAAAACAATGCTAATGTTAATAATGAATCACTAGCAATATAGCATATTCCTTATCGTAGATGGTCTACTTGCTGCCAAATAGCTGGAGGAAAAATGCAATCAAGCATTTAAACATCATAGCTGGATGTTTCCAAACATAAGCGTCCAGATGTTTAGCATTGTAGAGGTAATGTGTTTGATTGCTTGCCTTTTTCATATTTTATCTGGATCTTTTGATGTTCTGTAGAGAGTCATGACTATTCTTCATTTTCAGGATGCTGAGCAGTTTTGTTCGTCATGAATAGCAACAATAATGCTGAAGACTGGCAGAAGCCAAGCCTGGCCAGGATTGCTCCAGATACGGGAGAAGAGGAAGAAATGAGACTCAGACTATGGTTAAATGGGTCCCTCTCCTGGCTAATGTGTATGGAAGCATGTGCCTTTTAAAAGGCATCAGCTGAATCAGTTTTCACGCTTCAGTCAAGGGGCAACTAGGAATTAAGAAGTTGGAAGGGTCAGATCCTCTTGTTTTCCTTGAGACCCAGAGGCTGAATAACCAGGTCCTTCTTTAGGATAGCCACTTCACAGGAAGAAAGCTAACTGTCTTTATGCCAGTGAGGATACAGGCTTCAAAGGAATCTGGTCCAGCTAAACTGTAGTAGAGTTGTTCCCTCCCTTAGACTGATGCCTCATCAGGCAAAATGACAAATCTAAAGTAAACAATATAAAGCACTTTCTCCTTTTAGGATCTCAGAGTACCCAACCCAAATCAATTCATGCTTCCTACTGCAAACTTCTCTGACGTTGAGTTATTGGTACTTATAATTAGAGTCATTGCTGAATGCTCCACTGAATTAAAACCCTGCAAATTAATTATCTCATCAAAGGTAGCTCAGTTTCAGAACTGGATTCATAAATCCTGGTGCTAAAATAGATGCAACTCCCTCCTAAGAGTGAAAGCAAAAATAGTCATTTACTGACATGTCCCTGCAGGAATCAATAACATTACAGATCATGGAGGAGCCAAGAATAGCTGGGGCATATTAATAACTCAGTCTGCTCACTGATTTTATTCAAGATGACTAGTTAAAGAACCCTGCACTGATGATGACTCCATGACATGAGGAACAATGTCATCATTAACATGTGGACCATTTAGCATTTAGAACATTTCACACATAAAGAGAACTTAACACAAGACTATTTCTTGTGCTTTAGACAGATGGTTTAATGTTTCTTTAGCCTTCAGCCTATCAGGCCACCCATGGTTTTCTTCAGCCAAGGGCTTTTTAAAAATAAATGGTGTATAGCAATTTTCTAGCAAGACTGACTGCAGCATATTTCCCTAAATCTTTTTCCTACACTTAACTATCCCTTACAGTGGTTTGCAGTAGACAAACCTCCCTGACACTAATTCCTCACATATAAGTAATTACTGACATAAAAGGAGATGAAGGGGCTGAAATTTCATCATTAATGGTTTCTTTGCTACAGAAGAGCTATTTAGAAATGATTACTTTGGAAAACAGTTCTTCCCTGATTAGACACTGCCTGACTCTGGGGAAGCTGTTCCCCCAGAATCTTTCAATACAGTAAATGATACCCCAACATAGATGGATAACTGTGGGTGGCAAAAGATGCATATAAGCGTTGGTTTAAAAATGGCAGAGAAGAGTAATTGTATCTCTCTCTGAGGAATATGTAAATGTGTTTAGGAAGGGACACAGAGGCTGCAGATTCCCTGCTCCTACCATCCAAGTGGAAAACAAGCACAGTGGAAAAGCAAGGGGGGACGCATTCTTATAAGATCTATAGGGATCTTAATGACCCCCTGCACTGCTCTGGCTCTTGTTCATCTCTCCAGGGTCTTCCGTGAACTTTTTAGGGGAACAACGTGACCCAAGACCCAGAGACTCTGCAGACTGGCCCAGATGGATGCTTATTTGCACATTTTTCTCTATGTAACCTCTTCGATAGGGTTCAGAAGAAGCAAGCTTAGGCCTGGAGCACAGAAAAGCCATCACACAGCAGAGAGGGTTTAGTGATCAGATGTATTTAGAGGGCAAGTGTCTCCTGATTGCCTACTCAGGAGAGCATGAGAGGCTGGAAGTCTGGGCGCAGAGCCTCTGATTGGCTTTTTTCTCTTTGAGGAACAAAGATGTCTTGCTGGAGGCTCAGATTTCCCGCTGACACGTTATGCTGGGCCAGACTGGAATTCTTGCAAGTTCTGTGGCTGCAGCTGGTGTCAGGGTTTTGCACCCAAACTGTCAATTTCCACACCTATGAGAGGAAGCCCACGGCACCGATATCGGTGTTCTGTCTGGCCGTGTCCTGTGTGATTACCAGTTCGAGGTACCACGCCAGTTCTGCCTGATGAAGTTCAATAGCTCACTGTTCGGGGTGTGCAAGGGCGACGGGCAGCTGACTGTTAGGGACGCGGGCTTGGACCACGAGTAGCTGCACGGCCAGGCACCACAGTGTGTGCTGGTCTTCGACGTGGTCAGCTTCTCGCAGGAGCAGTTCCGGCTGGTGCACGTAGAGGTGGAGGTGAGGGACATCAACGACCATGCGCCGCGCTTCCCACGGGCCCAGATCCCCGTGGAGGTGTCCGAGGGCGCAGCCGTGGGCACGCGCATCCCCTTGGAGGTGCCTGTGGACGAGGACGTGGGGGCCAACGGGCTGCAGAGCGTGCGCCTGGCCGAGCCTCACAGCCCCTTCCGCGTGGAACTGCAGACGCGCGCGGACGGCGCCCAGTGCGCGGACCTGGTGCTGCTACAGGAGCTGGACCGCGAGAGCCAGGCCGCCTACAGCCTGGAGCTGGTGGCCCAGGACGGCGGCCGTCCGCCGCGCTCCGCCACGGCCGCCCTCAGCGTGCGAGTGCTGGACGCCAACGACCACAGCCCGGCCTTCCCGCAGGGCGCCGTGGCCGAAGTGGAGCTGGCGGAGGACGCTCCCGTGGGCTCGCTGCTGCTCGACCTGGACGCGGCCGACCCCGACGAGGGCCCCAACGGCGACGTGGTGTTCGCCTTCGGGGCCCGCACCCCGCCCGAGGCGCGCCGCCTCTTCCGCCTGGACCCGCGCTCGGGCCGCCTCACCCTGGCAGGACCGGTGGACTACGAGCGCCAGGACACCTATGAGCTGGACGTGCGGGCCCAGGACCGCGGTCCAGGGCCCCGGGCCTCCACCTGCAAGGTCATCGTGCGCATCCGCGACGTCAATGACAACGCTCCGGACATCACCATCACCCCGCTGGCCGCCCCGGGCGCACCTGCCGCCTCTCCCTTCGCCGCCGCAGCCGCCGCCGCCGCTCTCGGGGGTGCGGACGCGACCTCGCCGACCGGGCCCGGGACACCTGAGGCCGGCGCCGTGTCTCTGGTGCCAGAGGGGGCGGCGCGCGAGAGCCTGGTGGCGCTGGTCAGCACCTCGGACAGAGACTCGGGCGCCAACGGGCAGGTGCGCTGCGCCCTCTACGGGCACGAGCACTTCCGGCTGCAGCCGGCCTACGCGGGCAGCTACCTGGTGGTGACCGCGGCGTCGCTGGACCGCGAGCGCATCGCCGAGTACAACCTGACGCTGGTGGCCGAGGACCGCGGCGCGCCCCCGCTACGCGCGTGAGTGACGAGAACGACAACGCGCCAGTCTTCGCACGGCGGATCTACGAGGTGTCCGTGCGTGAGAACAACCCGCCCGGCGCCTACTTGGCCACGGTGGCCGCCCGGGACCCCGACCCGGGCCGCAACGGCCAGGTCACCTGCCGGCTGCTGGAGGCTGAAGTGGGTCGCGCCCTACGTCTCGGTGGACCCCACCACTGGGGAGCTGAGCGCACGACGGTGCTTTGACGGCGGTGAACTGGCCGAGCTGCCGCTGGGGCCGGAAGCACTCGATGGCGGCTCTCCGTCGCCCGGGCGCCGGGACGTGGTGTGGCAGCATGTGGAGGACCAGAACGACCACGCACCTCGGCTGGTCATACTGCCACTTTTCAGTGGCTCAGCCCAGCTGCCTCTGCCCAGGGCGCGCCCTGGGCTGCATGGTGATCCGACTGCGGACGAAGGCCCCAACGCCGAGCTAACTTACACACTTCTCCGCAGCGACTTCGCCGACGGGTGAGCTGTCTCTTCAGCGCCACCTGTCCCCACAGCTCACCGGCCAGCTGACGGCGGTCGTCGTGGTGCTGGACGGAGGCCCGCCGGCCCTGTCCTGTACCACCGCTTTGCTCCTAGCGCCGACGGACTCGGCGCCACCTGGCGGAAAAGTGGTGCTGGTGCTGGTGCTGTTGCCGCCGCCGCCGCCTCGGTCGCTGCCAAAGGAGGGAGCAGAGGGGGACCCTCCTGGCGGCGCACAGTGCAGGGAGCAGGGCGGCAGCCTGGCTTCCCGGTCGTGTTGTTGGGGGGTTTGGCCAGTGGCTGCGGCCTTCTGCTGGTGGCCATTGCCACCGTGACTTGTTCCAGCCAAGGCGGGGCTAGGACTCGAAGGAAGACGCTTTGTGGGCATAGCCCGAGCTGGTCCCACGCGACAAGTGGCCAGGCTGGCCCAAGTCGCAGAGCGGTGGGGGCTGCCTCCGAGGGCTTCCAGCTGAGGTTCTTCCCGAAGGCACTGCCCCTTTCCTTTTAGGCAGAGGCCCAGGAGGGTGAGGCTGCGGAGATTTCCCAGTCCGGGGATAGTGGGGTGTTCTTGTGCGCCTTGCTTGGGGAGAGGAGCGGGATCCTGCCGGCCCAGGTAGATCACCCTGGCAGTCTTAGTGTCCTCATTAACTTTTAGTAGATTTTCGTGCCGAGAGCGTTATGAAAATTCAGCGCCTGCTCAGGTTTGGGACTTCAAAGGACTAATTTTTCAGGACTTATTTATTTTTTATTTGAGAGGGAAATTTCTTCCCAGATGAAGGCAGAAGGAGGCATGATTGTCATGTGTTCATGGAGGCCCAGGTCTGTTTTGGCTGGTTTTGCCCCTGGTAACTTCCTTGTGGGTCCAGTTGGAACATCTCCATCCCTCAGGGTTTAAATGCTGTCTTCATGAAGCACTCCCCATGAGGGATATTGTGCCTGTTCCGTCAGTTTTGATATCTGAGTGTGAAATATTAACTGCTACTCTCACCCCTCTTTTTAAATAGGATTCAGGCTAGTTCCCTCCATTCCCCATCCCTGTGTGGAGAGGATAAATCTGCGAGTTCAAGGTAATTTCAGAGTATGAATCGTTCTCTCTAAGCAATGTGTTTGATGTTTTGTACATTTTTATGGATAACAAAGTGAGTCTGTCCTTTTCACTTCCAGGACACATTCAAATCCAGATGAATTTAGTGTGAAGATAACAGAAGAGGAGAGAGTGAATTGAATGATACCAGTTCTGACATCAGTAGAGCGCGGGCTTCAAGAAAGCATCTTTTCCAGTGATTACAAAGCGAGAGGGTAAGTTCAGAGCTGCGACTTCGAAGCTCTTCCCCACAAAGTCATCATCATTCTGGATGGCTGACTGAATTTTAAAAAACTAAACAAGTGATCTCAAATGGGCATTCGTAGAGGGGAGTATGCTGAGTGCTGCTGGACAGAGCTAACAGTTTTTTGGGACCCCTTCTTATTTAGCTGGTTCTACATATTTTAAATACGGTACACTTACTGACTTATTTATTCCCTGTAAGAAATCCAAGGAGGTAGGAGACCAAGGCACAGAGTTTAAATAACTTGCCCAAGTATAGGAGTTAAGATCTTAGCCCAGTAATTCCAGCTATAGATTTCCTCCTCTTAATCACCTATTAAGCTGCTTCTATTAATGCAAAAAAGATTAAAACACTAAAAAATCAGAATATTGTGGTTAGTAATACAAAAATAATTTTGTACCGCAAGCACTAAGGAGAACTTCCCATTCGTGGGGATTTCAGAAGCGGATAGCATATGAATAGGTAAAATTTTTATAGACTAGGATGTCATTTGCTGGGAGCATATGAATATGTGGTTTTGTTTGGCTGTGCTTTGTTTCGAGAATCTTGCACCCACACAACATCACGCTATTCAACCTAGCCTCCTATAATGTTTGGGAGTTTTGTTTTAGGTCGAAATCTCGGTAATGGTGTCTAGTTCTGTGGGGAAAATCAATTATGGGAGCTTTGTGTTAGTTTCCATGAAAGTGGGCACTAGATCTTTGGTCCCTCAAAGAAGATACCTTACTCTCAAAGATGAGTCCTGATGGTATGTCCTAGTGATTCAAATATCTCTTCACTTTATGGATATTTTTGTCCAATCTGTGTTTAGTTCCTTCAACATTTTTTTTTTTTTTTAAACAAGATGACTTCTAGAAGCATCTGCATCCTGGTCCCTTTCTGAATATCCTCTAGTTTGTAAATATCTTTCCTAAAATTAGACCCTTACAGTTGGATACAGCACTGCAGAACTGGCCTGTCTCCTGAGTTCCAAATTAATATTTCCAGTTGCCTACTCAACATCTTCATTTGGGTATCTAATAGACATGCTACATGTTCAAAACTGAACTCTTGATTTCTATTCTACAAACCTATTCTTTCTCTAATGTTTGTATCTCAGTAAATGACAACTTTATTCACTCAGTTGCTGCCATGGCCAAATCCCTGGGTCATTCTTGATTTATGTCTTTCCACACTCAACTTCCAGTCCATCAGCAAATCTGATTGGATTTACTTTGAAAATATGTTCCCAATCAGTGCTCTTCTCACTACCTTCTTTGCGGCTGTCCTACTCCAGACACTATCATCTCTTGCCTAGATAACTCCCAACGGGACTCTCGGCTTCCATACTTGCCCTCTTGCAGACTGTTTTCCAAATCAGGTCACATAATTCAACTCTCTAAAGAGTTCTCGCTTAAAATGAAATCCCAAAAAAATCCTCATCATGGTGTCCCAATTACTGCTGCCTTTTGTGACAAAATGTGACTCACAATGCAGCAGTTTAAAACAACTACTTTATTATGCCCATGGATTCCATGGGTCATTTTGGACAGGACATAGCAGGGATGCCTTGTTTCTGCTCCAAAGTGTTTGAAGCCTTAGCTGAGAAGATGTAATGGTTGGGGGCTGGAATCATCTGGAAGGCTTAGTTAGATGCATGTCTGGCTTGTGAATTAGGATTATTCGAAGTCTAGGATTGCTCACTAAGGGGTGGGAAGTGGGGGCTACATGTGCCCTTTTAGGCATGGCAGCCTTAGGAAAGTCACGTGGGGGCTCAGGGTTGCAAGCATGAATGTTCCACTAAATAAGACAGAAGGCATATCCTCTTTTATGAACCAGACTCAGAAATGGTACAGTCATTCAAGTTCTACTGGTCCGAGCAGTCTTAAGCCTACCCAGATTCAAAGGGAGGGGACGAAAGACCCCTCCTCTACATTGAAAAATTACTAGGGACTTTTGGGGCCATGTTTGTAAATAAGTCACACATGGCCCATAAAGTCCTATATTATCTATATAACCTATATACCTATATAACCAGAAGCAAGCCCCTCGTTGCTTCTCCCAGATCATTTCTTATTACTCTTCCCCTTGATAATTTAGATTACTGTATTGGCTCTCTTGCTGTTTCTTGAATAAACCAAACATATTTCATCTCAGACCTCGGGGTCTTGCTGTTCTTTCTGCTTGGTATGCTTTTTTTTGAGATATCCATATTGTCTGCTTCTGCCTTCATTTATGACTTTGTTCAAATGTCTGTCCTCTCAAAGAGATCTTCCATACCTTCCATACCTTCCATACCTCAAGCTGTTTCCTCCAGTTTTATTTTCCCTCATATCATTTATCACTGTCTGACATTACTTTATGTATTTATCATTTGTTCCCTGTTCAATCATCAAGCATCAAATATGTACTAAAAAAATGAATGACTGAATAAATGAATGATGAAAGGTGTAGTCCCCAGCCAGCTTATACATCACAAGTGTATGACTATTTCTTATCATATTGCATTTTAGATTAGGGTAAAATTGTGCTGGTGTTTTTTAGAAGTTCCATTGTGCTGCATTACTTTCTAGAAGATTTTAGTGTCATCTCAAAACTTGAAGATTTTGCAGTAAGTTTATCTTTTCAGATCATTTAATGTTATATTATCCTTTTCTAAAAGAGATCAAATTCCTGGGACTCCTACTGTTTATTCTCTGTTTAGAGAATGACCAGCTTATTCTTGTCTTAACTCAGTTTCAACTTCATAATAATAGGGCAGGCTCTCTGAATTGGTTGGTAGCTCAGGGGGCTGCTATGGCAAGCAATAGGGTGATCCAGGGGATGCATTCAATCTGGGGGGATATAGTTATGTGGTAATAATAATCACAACATTTCCTCTTACCTATATTCAATGGCAACATTTTATTTTTTTATTTATTAAGTATTTACACAGCACTTACTATGTACCAAGAACTGTGCTAGGTGCTCCACAGATATTAGCTCACTTAATCCTCACAATAATGTTATTAAGTAGGTACTATCATTTAATCACATCTCACAGAAGGGGAAGCTGAAGCAAGAGTTGTTAAGAGGGTTTTGACCAAGACCACCCAGCTGTAGGGGCTGAGCTGGGTTTTCAATTCCAGAAGTCTGGCTCCAGAGTTCATGCTTTTAATGTTCTGCTGTAGTGCATTTTCAGTGGATTTTTAAACGCTTATTTTATGGGTCTTCTAAAGGTTTAGGACCAATTTACATTCCTGAGGATGTTTCTGTCTTTGACTTTAAATGAGATGTTCTGATTTATGGTTTGGTTTATGCTCCAGTTCTCTGCTGCATTTTCTTGTAAAACTTTTAGTGGGATTATTGAAAGGATGACACATCGGTGATGGCAAGATAATTGAATTAGATGTTGATAGCTGGAATTAAGAAGTTTAGTGAAATTATTTTTATCATTTTTTCATCTCACTTTTAATAGTTAACACAGAGAATAAATGGATTAAAAACACACTGATATTCTTCTGAACCTTCATTTTATTTATGTATTTACTTTTCTTCCCAGTTTTTATGTAAATTCCAGTTACTTAACATACAGTATAATATTAGTTTCACACGTAGGATTTAGTGATCCATCACTTACATACAACACCCAGTGCTCATCACAAGTGCCCTCCTTAATGCCCATCACCCATTTAACCTATCCCCCTGCCTACCTCCCCTCCAGCAACCCTCAGTTTGTTCTCTCTAGTCAAGAGTCTGCATTATGGTTTGCTCTCTCTCTCTCTTTTTTCCCCGTGTTTATCTGTTTTGTTTCTTAAATTCTACATATGAGTGAAATCATATGACATTTGTCTTTCTCTGAGTAACTTATTTTGTTTAGCATAATACTCTCTAGCTCCATCCATTTCATGCAAATGGCAAGATTTCATTCTTTTTTTATTGGCTGAGTAATATTCCATTGTGTATGTACACCACCATCTTTATCCATTCATTAGTCGATGGACATTTGGGCTGTTTCCATAATTTGGCTATTGTTGATAATGCTGCGATAAACATTGGGGGTGCATGTTTTCCCTTAAATCAGTATGTTTGTATCCTTTGGGTAAATACCTAGTAGTACAATTGCTGGATAGTAGGGTAGTTCTATTTTGAACTTTTTGAGCAACCTCCATACTGTTCTCGAGTGGCTGCACCAGTGTGCATTCCCACCAGCGGTGCAAGAGGGTTCCCCTTTCTCTGCATCCTTACCAATATCTGTTGAGAAATTTCATTTTAGACTGTAATTTTTACCATTTCTCTCACCAAAGCTATATCAGAGATTCCAGCAAATTATTTAATTTTGTTGCTTGAATTTTATTTCCATTTCATTTCATCAATGCACCAGCAGGTGGAGGTACAAGTCATTGGCAGAAAATCCAAAGGAAGGAAAAAAAAATAAACAGCTAAAAAGCTAGTCCCTGAACAACTGAATGTTGTTTGCATTTTTAAGTATATTGCCACATAGCATTCTGACTTTTTAAATATTTTACACTCTTCCATTTTATTTCCAAGTTGCTTCAGATCATTCAGAATGAAAAACACTTAAGAATCCTGAAAGATTAATCGAGGAATCTCAAACAGCAAGACTCTTTCATCGCTTCATGAAAATAGGCACAGGATTGCACTTTCTTCAAGTATCCTTTACCCTCACATTTCCCAACTGAGAAATATGAATTTCCAACTGGTACACTCAGAACTCAAAGGATGTTGTTTTCAAGTCTGTGAATCCCAAAGTGAAGGGCTGCCAAGTGTATATGACAGAGTTCAGAACTACAGGCCAGCAATGTCACCTCCCCCCCCTTCTCAGACAGAATGATGAATTAAATCATCCTTCAGTGGATGGATCACCTTCACATAATTCAGAAAGAGGCACTTCATTCTGAAATGCTGCAACTCATAT